TCCTTTATTAAACACAGAGCAGAGATTTTTTTTTAAATGGTGGTATATGTATACTCACTGTCTTTGTAATTAGAATGTAATTTCCCTGTGAGTGGGGATTTGTTTTATTTTTCATATTTATAGCTCCATTGCCTACCATAGTGTCTGGCACATAGTGGATCAGGTCAAGTTAACAAACGTGTATTTAAAGTCTGTTATATGCCAAACACTGTCAGCTTTGGGATACAAAGAAAGGCAAAAACAGTTCCTGCTTTAGGAGGAGGTTAACTATCAAATGGAGGAGACACCATACAGACAACTATGTATATGTAAGCTATATAGAAGGTAGATTGGCAATAATAAGTTAGTCCAAACAATATTATGCTTATATCAGAGGTTCTCAAACTATGGTCCAGTCCTTTGTGGATCACAGGAAAATTACAAAGCATCATAGGAGTCAGCATCACATAGTTTCCAATACTACTAGTTGGCGACAGTATCATCTCAGTGCAAGGCAACCTAAGGTAGAGTGTCAAGAATATGTCAGCTTTCTTTACCTTTTTAGCTTTTCTCTAATATTCTTTCACCTTAGCTCTTGAGATAATTGTCACCCTTATGCCTTAACTTGCTGTGTGGTCCTTATTATTTGTTGACCATAACAAAACAGATTCTATTTGAACAAAATAAGATATAGTTTTAAAGCCTCTCCTCTAATAACATGTTTCTCAAAGATAAGCAATGCTATAAAAAGTTACCTGATAGATATAGCAGAGATAAATTTTTTTGGAGGGGTGAGGCACTTGGGGTTAAGTGACTTGCCCAGGGTCATACAGCTAGTAAGTGTCAACTGTCTGAGGCCGGATTTGAACTTGGGTCCTCCTGACTCCAAGGCCAAATCTCTATCCACTGCTCCACCTAGCTCCCTCAGAGATAACTTTGTTCAACAGTCCTCTATTAAAATAAGTCAAAGAGTGAAATAGAGACGTATGATCCTCAAAAGTTGACATGCTGTTATGGAGGTCATTGAACTCAGAGTGCCAATACATGAAATATTTCCGATAGGTGGTGAGGTCCTCCAGATGCTTCTGTTTGTCAATGATATTTTGTTGATTAAATCAAATCCTAGAGTATTGCACAATCTCTTAAGTGAGGTACATAATTACTCAAAAGAGTTTGGCATAAACATCCACAAAGAAAACACTAAATGGATGAATAATGTCTTGGCATCTTTCATGGACTAGTTAAAATCCCATCTTCTGCAAGAAGCCTTTCCTGGTCCCCCTCAATGGTAGCACAAGCTCCATCCAAGACAAAATGGAGATAATCTCAGAATGAGTGCTTAAAAAATACTTGCTGATTGATTGATTTGGGAAATTGTGTGACACTTTAGCAAGTTCAAGCTTCTCCTTGAAATTAAAAACAAAATAAAAACTGTGCTTTTAAACACTAGTATTCTGGTGATGTGATATGGCTGCAAATCATGGAATATCTCAGTCTCCAAAGATTAAAGGGCAGTGTTGGGACACTTAGTGGGTATGCATAGGCTTCAGGACATCACCAATGACTAATTCTGCCTCAAAAACAGCAAACAATCTATAGCCTGTGTGTTGCATTAGTACTCATATAATGTCAAGATACCTAAAGGAAGGCTGTCAGTACATTGGGGGACTTCTTGCAGAGTACTGACAAAAGCATGTGTGCAAGAATGACATATGATAAGACATGGATGAAATTTGTACTTTGGAAGGAGTACTCACATTGATGTGAGGAAAGATCCAACAAATATTTGTTTATTCATAGAGATAGATGTAAGGACTGGGCATGTGATTTCATTGGAAGAATATATATAAAGGAAGAAACCAAGGAAGGAAACAATAATGTATATAGTGTCTACTATGTTCAGACACTGTACTAAGCACTTTATAAATATCATCTCACAACAACCCTGAGGGGTAGGTGCTATTATCTCCATTTTACAGTTGAGAAAACTGAGGCAGAGGTAAAGTGACTTGCCCAGGGTCACACAGCTATTCAGTGCCTGAGACTGGATTTGAGCTCAAGTCTTTCTGATTCCAAGCCCAGCGTTCTGTCCACTGTGCCACCTAGCAAATCAGTGCTTAATCAATGATTGTTGACTTCATTGTTATGAAATGACTATAAAATCCAATTAGATGTTCATCCATTAGTACCTGTATGTGTTAGTGTGTATATGTGCATATGTATATGTCATATATGATTACACCTAAAGACTGAATTTATCGAGAACAATTAGCAAAGTAGTTTAAACTTCCCTTATCAGTTCTAATAATTTATTTATACTAAGTTTATCTGCCTTCATATGGCATCCAATAGTGAATCTCACTTACCTTCTCTTAAGTGTTTTCACATGCTGCAGGAACTCTTTATTATCTCATAGTTTGGATCAGAGGTTCTTATTTATGCTAACAAATTGTAATCGCTACCAATAGGAATCTAAACGTTTACTCAGTTGAAGAATTTGCTTATTTTTCTTCACTGCTGTTCATTTATTCATCCAACAAACATTTATTGAACGCTTACCATGAGCTAGGTATTCTGTTAGCTGCTGCTCAGTCAGTTGTAACAGCTCTGTCTTGATGTACAAGAAGATGCTATTGACAGTGGATGCCATCCACAAATGTAGATCATAACAGAATACAAAATATTTCTGGAATGTAAATAAAATGAGAAATGCATGGCTTGTTACTGAAGCTGTTAAAGGGTAATCTGTCCTTAGAATAGAGTATTCTGGAGTTGTGTAAGCTGATCTGAAAAAGGTAGGGGAAGAATTCTTCACTCTACTTAAGGGTAAGGTATGAGTCTACTGAAGGAAACAGTTGTGGGGACTGAGTGGTATATGTGTAAGGTGGGGAAAAAGCTATATAGAATGTTGATAGGGGCTGTTCCAAGGTTGTCTGGAAGAAGCTATATCTATAAAATAATGACTCCATCATGATACAGACTTATTGTGGCTGCTGGGATACATTTCTATCTATGTGCCTTATATTTATGACTGTTCCAGATGTTAAAATCCCAGGTCACACCAATGGCAAGGAAGGAGAGAGAAAGGTGTGAGTGATCGGGGAGGAGAGATCACGTAAAGGGGGCAATGAATTACATTCTCTCATCTCTGTCTTCCAGATTTTGGAAGTTTCATTGGCTGTCCCCCCATGCTGCATGCTCTCCCTCTCTATCTCTTCCTCCTGGCTTCCTTCAAGTCCCAGCTAAAACATCACCTCCTCTAGGAAACCGTTCCCAATCCCTCTTCCCAATCCCTCTTAATTCTAATGCCTTTCTTCTGTTGATTATCTCCAATTTATCTTGAATATATCTTGTTTGTGCATAGTTGTTTACATGTTGTCTCCCCCATTAAACTGTGAGCTCCTTGAGAACAGTGATTGTCTTTTGCCTTTCTTTGTATCCCTGGTGCTTAGCCCGGTGCTTGGCACTTAGTAGGAGCTTAATGAAATGCTTATTGACTGACAGACTAATTGAAAGCGATCAAAGTTTAAAACTTGATACTGTAAAACAAGATCTATAGAAGTTAACTCGCCTGTATTCAGTCAACAAGACAAAAAAAAATCGTGGAATTTCAGTAGCAATGTGAATGGAGCATTTAATGGCAAATTTTGACAAATTACTTTATGAAGTACGTTTAGTCTTTAGCAATGAAGAATCATTTATGCTTCCAGTGTTTGATTTTGCTGACCAAAGATATTCAGTAGCCTTTACTTTAACATAATGGAAAGTAGTTGTTTTAATTTTATAACTTGGATTTTCTTTGGTTTGTAAAATATTATTTAAAAAAGCCTTTTTATTTCCCACATGGAAAAACAAAAGAGAATATAACACACCCTCACCCCACCCTCCTTTTTGTTTATTCTTACTATTCAGAAACCCAAAATGCACTCAGGCTGAGAACTTGAATACTGAAGGTGTTATTATAAGTCTCTTAAGAGAAATAGTCATCCTAATATTGGCACATTCTTAACTGTAGCTTTAGAGGTGTAATAACAATTAAAAATATCTGACAAGGTTGCACAAACCATCTGATGTCTTGAAAATTTGTTTTACTTCCGGATATTTGCTTTCTTGAGAAGTTAGAAGACCCATTTTTTGAATTTCAGACCTTGGCCAAATAATTTGCCCTCCCTGGGCCTCAGTTTCTTTATCTATGAAATGAGGAGATTGAACTTCAGTTTCTTCTACTTATAAATCCTATGATCATCTATAAATACATTTCAAGTCCTTAATGGCTTGTCAAATGCCCTGGGTCCTGTTATTTTTATCATGACATCTGCATAGAGAATCGCTGTTTGAAGTTCAGCATGGACAAAACTGTCTAACACTGGGGAAGCTTTGTTTCTTTAATGATCTGTTTAGCTGTTTGAAAAACCTCTTAAAGCTATTTTCATCTTTTAACCCATGTAAAATCACAAGGGGTAAAAATCCAACCACCTGACACCAGTTCTGTTTCCATTGTTCTGTGTTTTTGGCATAATGCTCTGGACAGGCTCTTTTTAACAAGAGCCCCTGTTGGAGTGAGTGGAAAGGAGTTCAGAATTATGCTAATAATTCCAAAATCTAAACTGCAGCCTGTGGCTCTAACAAGAAGACATTCCAGCAGGTTCAGAAGAGGGTGGAAAAAAAGCCACTTCTTTGCTTGGTTCAGAAGCAGTAGCAATCTGCAGACAGGCTGCTCTAGCTTCCTAACTGTATGGCAGGCTGTTTTATGGAGACGGTGATTACAAAGGTCCACTTTAACCTTTCTTTCTTACTGGCAGGTGTCCCGCTGGCTCACAGCCAGAGGCTGTGAGTAACAGCATAGCCTGCGGTTTACCCCAGAGTGCTGAAAATGCCGACACTCCAGCTGGCTGCTCATAATTACACTGATTGCGGTCTGACAACTGGAGCTACAAGACAGAGATGTGATAAATGTATGAAAATATTTTACAAATTTGATCACATTACAAATTTTATCTCTCTCTTTATCTCCTCTACAGATATGATATCTGCACTTATAAAAACAAGCCCTGTGGAACATTGGGTAAGTTTCAAAAAGGGGGAAGTACATGAACTGTATTTGTTGGCTAATGGACTTGACTCTTGCTTGCTCAACTGGCCACTTTCCTTCCCTTCATTCAGGTCTTAGTAAGTTCATCTGAAGTTGACCCATAACGACACTTAAAGTTGACCCTGAAGGGTACATAGTTTGTTAAAAGTCACCAAGAACTTAAATGATGTGAACTGCTATTTGGGCGTTTTCGGGCAACTAGAAAGCTGATAAGGACGTGCCAGATGATTCAAATTTAGCAAGCAGTCATTACAGGACAAAGCTTACTGCTTATTTCCATATCATCTATCTCTGTGATATGTTGGAAAAATGTGAGAATAAATGAAAGCAATCAGCAGCCTTAAATCCAAGCTGTAAAACCCTTGGTTGAACTGTGGCTTCATTGAACATAGGAAGGTATGGCATCAAGAGGGATGGAATCTTTAGAAAGACAAGGTCACCGAACTTTAAGGGATTATTAGAACTTCTCAGTGCCTTGATAATGGAAAGCATGTTTGTCCAGCATTGCAAGTCAAGGTAGAGAGGAGTAGGGCTACCCTTCTTTGACATTTGGATATGTTTTTCCAAAATATTACTTGTTTTGCAAAACCTGCAGTTTTTTAGGGTCTAAAAGTCAAATTTTATTATGAAGCATTATCACATGTTGAATAGAATTCAAATGCAAGTGGAAGAAAGCCACTGAAAGATTTCATTAGTGATGATTATTCCATTAGCTTCGGGCTACAGGTTCATTTGGCAGCTAGTCACTTCAAGGAGCAAGTGATTCAACAAACATCCATTTATGTCAACAACATTTATTAAGTGCTTACTCTGTATAGGATACTCTGACCTAGTGCTGATTCTGTTTGATGATGACTTTCTCGATGTAATTCAATGTTTTTATAGAATCAGCACTTCTAGAGATTTTTTCTACAGAAACCCCTTGGTGGATAGGGCAATCTGTTGGTACTTCCTGGGTGGGGTGTGTGTGTGTGTGTGTGTGTGTGTATGTGTGTGTGTGTGTATGTGTGTGTGTGTGTGTGTATGTGTGTGTGTTGCATCAAAGGGAGTACAGCATGATTAGAACTATCTGGAGAGTTCAGTGGAACTTCTTTCCAGAGGCCCGAATCCTCAGATGGTTTGACCTGACATACCCTGCTTCTCCCATCCCATTTCTCCCAGTAGGATTTCTGATTAGGCAGCAAAATTCATTTACCTGGAACTAATCTCTGCCATCAAGTTCCTACCAGTGAGAAAGGCACCATTGTGAGGAAACTTGCTTTCAGTGAGGAAGTTTACACCAAAAAAATTTCCTTCCTGAAAGTTTGGTTTAGTGAGTGGGAATCTAATCTAATGCAAAGAGAGCTGAGCTGAGGTTCGTAAGATATAACTATCATTGATTGAGCATATGACCTTGGACAATTAAATTAGCTTCCTGGGCCTCAATTTTCTCATCTTAAAAGTAAGATTGATATCATATACTCACACCAGAGCAAATCTGTAATGATCAAACGGGATAATAATGGGAAAGGGTTTAGGAACACAGACGCCATATAAAAGCAAAATGATATTGTTCTCTAATATAGAAATACGTATGATATAGAAGATTTAACACATATTTTTGTTTTTAAAAGTTATCATCTGCTTTATTCTTCTTAAGCTATAAATGGGAGTTAAATACTTAACCAAGTTGAGCTACAGCAGAGGAGATCCTAGCATAATTATGTGGCTATTGAGTGGATTGAGGTTTATCCAGCTTCCTTGTAATGGTAGCTATTTCTCTTTTTAGCGTGACTGTTGATATTATTGCTTATTTAGGAAAGTTTGAGATTCCCTTTATAATGCCCCAAATGGAAGGGTTAATTAACTTTTCTTCTCCTTTCTTCCCCTTCTTCACTAACCTTTCCCTCATCAAGGAGTAAGCATAAGGCAAGATGGCAAGAAAGCTGTGTGGGAAAATACCTAGGGAAAGAGAAGGGGTAGGGCATACATTGGCTTCTTTGCTTAGTTCTGTACTTTTTGCTAAACTGAGAGAATGCTTTCTATCTTCATCATGGTGTAGGGCATGAAGAAATTCATCATGGAAGTGGGTTTGATTGGGAGACTGGTCAGCTTTCTCCTACTGAATGAAAGCTCAATAATGTAGCTTCATTATTTTGTCAGTACTATGGATTGGAAGTAGCATAGCAAATGGGTATTCTAGAAAGGATTTCTGTACTGGGAGGTCCCTTTCAACTCTTGAAATCAGTGATTTTTATGAATTCCTAGATTATCTGTGTTCAAGTATAAATGTAATCATGTATTATAAAGCCAAGAATAATTTAGTTTTTTATTCTTAAAAGAACATTGGGATCAAAAACCATTTTGGTTTTCCTAGGCCAAAGAAAGGAGAACTGAGAGGCAGCAGGCTGTAGTGAAATAAGGACCTGATACCTACTAGCTATGTGACCTCCAAGAAGTCTCTTAGCCTTTCTGTGCCCCTGGGATCTCTATAAAATAGATTTGTTGTCTGTCTTGGAGTTCCCTACAAAATGAAATCATAAGTCCAGACAAAACAAACAAACAAATAAAAATTCCAACTATGAGTAAACCACGCGTGTAGAATCCAATCCAACAAGCATTTATGAAGTGCTGAGTACTGAGAATAGGGGAGAGGTAGGTGTGCATTATTTAGAGTGTGGGGCCTGGAGTAGAAGATCTGAGTTCAAATGTGGCCTCAGATACTTACTAGCTGTGTGACCCTGAGAAAGTCATTTAACCCTTATTTGCCTCAGTTTCTCATCTGTAAAATGGGCACAAACTGGAAAAGGAAAGGGCAAACCACTCTAGTATCTTTGCCAAGAAAACTCCATAGAATCGAATGTGTCTGATCGACTGAACAACAAAGTACTGAGACTACAGAGACAAAATGAAATGAGGGCTTTGAGCTCTAGACGATTAATGCAAGTACATACGTGCTAATCTTCATATATGAGAGAGGTTAATGACTCCCACCATCAGTAGGGCATATGCCACTTGAGTGGCTTTTCCTGTAAAAATCTGCATTCTCTTGGCTAATTTCTCATGTGAGATATCTGGATAGAGTGAGGTGTGAGATCTGTGGCCATAAAACATAAGTTCCATTGCCCTGCCTAGGAATCAAACCCATCGCCAACACTGGAGAGAATATTATAGCATCGCAAGAGTGAAGAAAATTGACCAAGACAGTATTTGTTTTACCAAATAGTTTGTTGCTGGTTATTCTTCCTCTTCATGTGTTCTCTTAGCATAGCTCGCAATTTTATATAAACCTTCAGAGGCAAATCTGTGTTTAAAAACTCTACAATTCTACAGGGAATTGTTGAGAGTTCTCTATTATAGATACAAACCACAAGACACATATAAAAATGTAGTCCTTGCAATACTACTTTGGTTTGGGAAAATATGAAAAAATCTTAATTGAACAATAATTATCCATTGTAATTTTGATGGAGACACATTTTCATAAGACTCACAAGGTATAGGGTGCTCAAACAGCATGAGATATTTGTTTTGCTTCCTTTTATCTGCTGCTCCGTTTGTGCTTCCACTGAAGTCAGTTACCGTAACCAAGGTAACAATACCAATACAGCAGGTTGAGGACAGTTAATGCAATTTAGAAAAATTGTTATCTAACATGTTGGGACAAAAGAGTGCTAGTTAGTGAAAAAAAAATCCTGTTGAATAGATAATAAATGGCCCAGTCTCTCCTCATCTTGTTGCTGCACTTGCTTTTCTCTATAAAATATTTAAATTAGTAAAAAGATCATTTATATGTTTAAATCGCCAGTGTTGGTAAAAGCACCCAAAGGTCTCAGAAGTCTAATTTTTTTTTTGCCTCCAAACAAATAGGTACAACAAATAATCTCTCAGTGAACTCCAACTTTGCTTTATTCTGGTTGCTAGGTTGAAATTTTCGATGGAGGTGGGATGGCACAGGATGCATGGAGGTTATAGAAAAAGCAGTTTTTAGAGCTTTCCTGTTAGTGAAATTCTGGGTAATACAGCTTACACTATCTCAAACTAGCGTAACTGGGAAATTGAGTTGCTTGGAAGGCAATTACCAATACTTGGATCAAGGTAGTCTTCTGTTAGTAATGTGAAATGTTTTTCCTACATTTCCCATGATTTCTTCCAAGTGACTTCTCCTAGTCCCTCTTTATTTCTCTCTGTGTTAAGTGATACAGTATGATTTAGAATCTGTTTCCTTATACAGGGTAGCATTTTTCCTTTTGCACAAAAGTTCCTTTTACTCGGCTCTGTTTTGGAGCTACACACAGATTTACAGAGCATGATATTCTCTCGGAGTGGATGTTAGAGCTTCTACATGATAACATGAGGAGCCCTGCAATTCATCAGCATCAATGAATTAGCACCAGTGTGTCTCCTTTATTAGGAATGATCAATAGATCAAAGGCGGCAGTAGGATACAGCCTGTGCTCCTAAATTTGGGAATGACTTCCCTTCCATTAAGACTATTTGAAAAAAAGATGCTAACATCCTCACCAAGGCTAATTTCAAGAGATGCTGATTTAAGGAAATGAAGAAAAAAGGGGAAAAAATGCCAGACCATGCCATTAGTGATTCAGCATGTGTTTTTTTTTTTTAACAGTTCTTTCCCTCTATTGATAACATTCAGTTTTGTTTTTATAAAGACGTCTTTTTTTTAACCACTTGGGACTCATTTTTTTTGGTAACTAAAAAAAGTTGCTTGTATATTTTTATGAACCCACTAAACTTAAACAGATCTCTTTAGAAAAATACTGTGGATACATTTTGCTTTCTGCAGCCTCAAGAATGTTAAAATAGAAATGCTTTCTTGAATTCCCTCTCCTGGCTCAAGTTACTAGGTGGTCCCAAGTTACCAGAAGTAAAATTTATAAATCTAACCCCTCGTCTAGACATTTTCCAGCACTGACTGCAGTTCAAAAAATATTAATGTCTAGCCGGCAGAGTGAAATTCCCCCCCAGTGATTTTGCAAATGACTAGAAAGTTAACCTTTTGCCAACTGCTCCTTCTGTGCGTGGAGGTTATTAAAAAAAGAATCCAGGCATTTATAAGTAGGGGCTTTTAAGACTGCAACACCTTGGCTTGACCCTTTGTGTCTCCTTCTGTTTCTTCAGGCTTGGCCTCTGTGGCTGGAATGTGTGAGCCTGAAAGGAGCTGCAGCATTAATGAAGACATTGGCCTGGGCTCCGCTTTTACCATTGCTCATGAGATTGGTCACAAGTGAGTGAATTTAAGAAAATCAAGATAAAATTTAGTACGCCGCTCTTTGAGCAACTGGGGAAACTACTGTTTTGATTGTTTGCATTTGGCCACACTTTAACTCCACCTAACTCCACCTCTATTTGATGACAAGAGAGAATATCACCCTTCCCATGAAGGTTTCCCAACATAGGTTAGATGGTGGATTGGGAAAAGATTGACATTCTCTCTCCGACACCGCCCCCCCTGCCCATGCCCTGCCCTGTCCTCTGCAGTTACAGGGAGAAGGTTGAGAGCGGGGCAAAGACTAGGAGCCAGAGAGAGGAGGGTACCTGAGGATGGAAAGAGCAGGATACAGGGATAAGGAGAAGCCATTTTCTGTTTTAAATTTATGGGTTTTAAGAAGTAAAAACCTTTGGAAAGAAAAATTCTTCAGACTAGTAAAAATTTGCCGTGAACCAGGAGTTGGAAAACACTATTTCTAGTGGTATTGTTGCAGTTTGGGTATTGGGGTAAAGCGCCTTGAGACTGGGAGTCTTTTCAAGTAATATTTTTGATTAATAAAAAAAGGTAGGGTTCTTTGTCGAATACACACACTCAAGTATCATTTGAAAGGATTTCACTTTCGCTATGCCTGCCTTCCTCATTCCCCCTTTTCCTCAGGAAGCCAAGTTCCAGCGGTAAATAATCCTGCCTTTTCTGTTTCAATCCTCACCGATTATATACGCTGATAAAATGTTACTTCTGCTCTGGTTCTTGCTCCAGCTATGCACATGGCATTTCCAGGTCTGAAATGGACGTGTTGGCAGCTGTGATATGACTTTCACTTTCTCTTGAGCCACCTGTGTGTCATGTCGAGAGAACATGGTGTTATTGGACAGCAGCAATGCTTTGGAATAAGTGGGAGTGAAATGGAGTAGGATGGCATCCCACTTCATTTTAAACAGACCTGAAATCATCCAGTTAAGCTTTTAAAATACAAGTGAGAGAGGCAGCACAGCCCTGAGGTTTGCAAGCTTGCCCCTAGACGAGTGCTTTCAAATCTCACCTCATTCAGGGGAAGTCACTTAACTCTTCAGTGCCCCCAGGCCACTCTCTAAGACCCTCACACTCAAGAACAGTGCCAGTTTGTATTGGGAGTTGCCTTACTGGGAGCTCGGTCTCTTTAAGCAATTATAGACCCCATCACTCTTCTAAAAAAAAAAGATAAGAACCCAAACTGCATCTGTTAGCTGAAACATCCGCATTCTTATTTCTCCATTTAAAACTAACACCTTTCCCACCCATGTTTTTTCTCTTCTTCATTTTAAGCACTTATATATTTAAAGCTTGTGGGAGGGAGATGGATTTTGAAATATTGTGCTTCTTTCAAGTATTGATGTCATTAGGAGGTTTAGGGATGACAGGATGGGACTCCCAATGTGAGTCAACAAGTCTCTTCTTTAAGTGTTCAGATGGTGTTAGCTGTTTTGTGTAGCATGCTAGTCAGTTTTCTAGTACAGTTAAGGAAATGTTGCAAAGTGAGTGGATGAATGGTCTTAGAGTTAGGAAGAAGTGGATTCTACCCCTGCCTTTGATACCTATTCTCTCACTTTGGGGTGAATCACATAAACGTCTCAAATACCTAAGACTAGATGTTGGAAAGTGACTGATGCACAAGAGGGGAGGACATACCTACCCCGGAAGTTCCTCTTGTCAGTGAAATTACAGGCTGAGGTGAAGGGGATGGGAGAATGGAAAACAGGAAAAAGGGAAAGGAAAAGTACATTACTCTAACCAGAATTCCTCCTTTCGGTTGAACCTGGCATTTAGCTTCCATTCTAGTACTTAGCGTAATGCCTGGCGCAGAGTAGGCACTTAATGAATGTTTATTGACTGAATGGCATTGAAATGGAAACCAACTTTGTTACCTAACAGGAATACCTAACGGATATATGAATTTCAGACAAGTCAAATCTTGCAAAGCATTCTCTAATGCCTTATCATGCATTTTCATATTGCAATTACCTGTTTATAGTATCAGCTTCCCATATTATACTTTATGCCTTTCCCTGAGGCTGCTAAGTGGTGCGTTGGACAGAGTGATGGGCCTTGCATCGGGAAAATTTGAGTTTAGGTCTAGTTTCAGACACTTACTAGTTGTGTGTCCTAGGGCAAGTCACTTGACTTTTGTCTGCCTCAGTTTTTCATCTGCAAAATGAATAAGAATAGCTCCCACCTCCCAGGATTATTGTGAGAATAAAATGAGACAATATTTGTAAAGTGCTTCACAAACCCTAAAGTACTATATATAAGTGCTGGATTTATTATATTATTGTTCCCAAGTGCCTCGCCCCATACGCTGTTCACAGTTGGCCCTTACTAAATGTTTGTTTGATTTTGTATTTAGCCTGTCTTTAAATCACTTTCTTTTCTTTTTCCTTTTAAAGGTTAGCCTTTTTTAATGAAATAAAATTGTTAACTACTGAATATATTTCCTTCATTTGACTTTCCTAGTGAACTTGGCTTAATGAATCATGGAACAGGCAAAAGCAAGAGAGTCAGGCAGAAGGGAGGAAAAAACCTAAATGACACAGATAATTCTGAGTCTTGGAAAATAAGCTCCTGACCATCTGACTATAATAATCAAAGTTAGCAAATGGAAAGTGATTGTTGTTCATCTGTTTGCCCCATAACGATCATAGCTTTAGAGTTATACAGAGCCTTAAAGGTCATCTAATCCAACTTCTTTCTTTTACAGATGAGGAAATTGTAATTTTAAGATAGAGATTAAATGCCTTTCCAGTGGTCCTAAATGTAGTAAATGGCAGTGTCAGGATTCAAACTCATGTCTTCTGACTCCAAATCCCTTCCTTTTCCCACTGCTAGTCATTGGACAAGAGCTAGGATTTTTCACATATAAATGAGTCATTTTGAAACACAAATTAATTCCTTTTTAGGGGTTCTACTTAGATTTGGATAACGACAGAAGGTAGGTGCAGGAAATGTTCAATAAAGTTGAAAAGCAGTTGTATTCAAAATAAGAAGAATGAGCTGAAAACATATAATTCTTCTCTTTCTCTTTTCCTCACTTTCCTCCAAACTACATATAAGTAAATAGTAGGAGAATGAAAGTGAAAATGTCCCCATGAGAGGAACATACATCTCCAGTTCACTTAAAACTCAGGCTCATTAATGGTGCCACAATCTTAGGCAACCAGACTATATTTAATAGGTTCTGTTAGATTCAATAAGATGGAAATGTTGGGACAAGTCACATACTAGCAGGCAAGTAATTATGTGTGTGATGGCAATATTGCCTTATGTAGTTAGAAATGACTTAATGCCAGAATATATATGGCAAACTCATTCCTGTATATTGTGCTTTAAGTAGCTGAGATGCGGGATCAGCTCCCTTTGTGCCTTTTTATTAAGATTCTAACTGGGCCACCTACCAGGACCTCTAGTCTCCTCCTTGAGCTTTGCCAGCATTCTTATTCTTCTCCATATTAGGTCCATTTAGTAGGTATTTTGAGCTCTCCTGGAAATGAGTAATAGTGCCTTAAATAGCAGAGCTCTAGAAAGGAAGTAAAGTCTTGTCTTATGATGTGTCTTTTATACATTGGTGTGTAATTAGAGGCTGTATGAGGCTATCAGAGATGACATACAAACAATAAATAGACAAGATAAACATACGTATATAGGTACATATGTATACATACACACATGCATGCGTACACATACACACTTATACACACATGCACACACACATACACACACATATATATGCATATACACATATACAGGATTAATTGGAGATTATCTCATAGAGAAAGAACTAAGAATAAAGGTATAAAGAAAAATGATGTATACTCAGCTTGAAAATGAAAAGCTGGACTGAAGCCCAATTGTGAAGGGCTTTCTATGCTTAATGGAGGAGTTTATATAATCAGCTGCCAGAGCTTCTTGAATAGGAGAATGGTCAGATTGTGCTTTAGGAAAAAGCTCTGGAGCTTTGCAGCTGTGTGAAGGATGAATTGGGGAGGAGAAAGACTTCTGAGGCAATGAGACCCTTGCAATGGTCCAGGTAACAGGTGATGAGAACCTGAACTAAGGTTATTGTAGCCTAAGTAGAAAGAAAAGAGCAGATCTGAGAACTCTTGAGGAGGTGGAATCAACAAGATTTGGCCAGTTGATAAGTTGAAGATGACTCCTGGGTTGCAAACCTTGGTGACTAACTACATGGTGGTCTCCTTGAGAGAAAGAGGAAAATTAGGAGGAGTGATAGATTTAGGGAGAAGCATAATGAGTTCTGTTTTAAACCTATTTTTGAGGGGCAGCTAGGTATCTCAGTAGATAGAACACCTGGAGTCAGGAGGACCTGAGTTCAAATCCAACCTCAGATACTTGCTAGCTGTGTGACCCTGGGCAAGTCACTTAACCATAATTGTCTAAAAAAATAAATAAATAAACGTGTCGTTTGAAACAGTTATGAGAATTTAGATTTGTATGTCCAGTAGGCAGTTGGAGATTCGGTTAGATGGTGCTTTGGTTACATGAATACTGGTCATGTCAATTTAGGAATCAAGTGTATAGGTGGTGGGATATATATAGATCAGCTGTTCTTAACCTTTTTTGCATCATGGACATGCTTGGCAGGCTGGTGAAGAGCCTATGGTCCCCTTTGTAGAATCACATTTATAAATACATAAAAATCAAAAGCACATAGTATTACAAAGGAAATCACTTGCATTGAAATACTGTTATCACAATTTTTTTAAAAACCAGGTTAAAAAATGATGAACTTATAAAGGAGACCAGGGAGGATCAGCTCAACAGTGAAAGGAAAGTCATGAGAGAACAGTGTCATGAAAATCCAGAGAGGAAAGGGTATCCAGAAGGAGGGGTGATCCACAAGGAGGTCAAGAAAGAAGTGAAGAGTTTTTAAGGAAGGTGGAGTTAAGGCCATGTGTATAAACAGCAGGGAAGGAACCAGTGAATATGAAGGAGGCTGAAAATCAGAGGGACACAAGGGAATGATT